TTGAATGGAATGTACCAGAATGGAGATGTTATACTTGGAGGTCTTTTTGAGGTTCACTTCCTCGCAGTGTTCCCAGAGCTGAGCTTCAGAACAGAGCCAGAACCACCTTACTGTGAGCAGTGAGTCTACAGTGGATATGAACAGCTACACAAGGCTTAAAAAGAAAGAAAGAAAAAGTTGGATGAGAAAGAAAATTTATTTTAAAAATGAACCTAAAAAAAATCTGTTCTTTACAAAACAACTCATGCACTACAAGTCACTGTTAATTGCTAGTGTGAATTTTCTAACATGCTTCTTTTTTGTGTTTCATTTTTAGAATTGTTAAATATGAATATGTCTCTTGCTTTTTCTTAGATTTGATATGGCAAGTTTCCAGCAGGCACAGACCATGGTTTTTGCAATAAATGAGATCAATAAGAATCCAAACCTGCTGCCTAACATCACACTTGGTTACCATGTTTATGACAACTGTGTGATGCTAGGAATGGCATTCCGGGCTGCCATATCCCTGGCTAGCGGGACAGAGGAGTCCTTCTCCAACTTCAACTGTACTGGCTCTCCTCCGGTTATTGGGATTGTGGGGGACTCAAATTCCACTCCTTCTATAGCGATTTCTAGTGTTCTGGGATTATTTCGAGTACCTATAGTAAGCTAGAATAAAATAACATTGTTTGTACTTTTTAGCATTTGTTTCTGTAAACACATTTTCATAAGTAGCAGAAGATTTGTATTCCTTAAAATGTTCATATGTTTGTATGTAAACAAATTTGTACAGCTATTTTTTTTTCTCATTTGTTGTCTCTCCTTTTGCTTTTGCCTTATTAGGTTAGCTACTTTGCCACCTGTTCCTGTTTGAGTAACAGAAAAAAATACCCTTCTTTCTTCAGAACAATCCCCAGTGATGCCTTTCAAGTGCGGGCTATGATTAGGGTTTTAAGCCATTTTGGATGGACCTGGGTTGGTCTTGTCTACAGTGATGATGACTACGGAAACTACGCTGCTCAGTCCTTCCTCCAGAATGTGCATATGTTAGACGGGTGTGTTGCTTTTTCTGAAATCTTGCCTTTAGATAACAACCGCAAAGATATACAGCGTATAGTGGGAGTGATTCAGGCCTCTACAGCAAGGGTGGTGGTGGTGTTCTCCACTTCAACTTATATGTTGCCTTTGATGGATGAGGTGGTACTGCAGAATATAACAGGCAGACAGTGGATTGCAAGTGAAGCTTGGGCTACTTCACCTGTTTTTCATACTCAGCGTCTTTTGCCCTTTCTGGGGGGCACACTGGGCATCGCCATCAGGCGTGGAGAGATCAAAGGACTTCATGAATTTCTACTACACCTCCGTCCTAACAATGATCAAAGAAACAATATGGTGAGAATCTTCTGGGAGAACATGTTTGGGTGCAAGTTTAACACTGGAGGTAGAGGAGACAAAATGTGTTCAGGGCAAGAGGATCTGAGCAGAACAAACACGGCATACACAGATGTATCAGAGCTGAGAGCCTCATATAATGTGTATAAAACAGTTTATGCCCTGGCACATGCGCTTCATGACCAGATGCAGTGTGAGGAGGGCAGAGGACCATTCAGTGGGAACAGATGTGCTGACATAACAAACCTCCAGCCCTGGCAAGTAAGGTTCAAATACACAGTGCTGAATCATTTTACATAGAAGTAACAACTAGACACAAAAATAAAATTAAAAGTGCAGCATTTAACCCCTATCCTTTCTACAAACTACAGCTAGTTCACTACCTACATCATGTGAACTTCACCACAGGATTTGGGGATCATGTGTCATTTGATGAGAATGGTGATGTTCTGGCCATCTATGATGTGATGAACTGGCAGCCGAGCTCTGATGGCTCAATTATTGTCCGCACAGTTGGTGTGGTAGATGAAGGGGCAGCTACAGGGAAGGTGCTTACACTGAATGAAGATGCATTATATTGGAACTTTGAGACAAAAAAAGTAAATAAACCATGCATGTTAATGTCATTCTGGAGATATATGGTCTAAATATTAAGTCATAATAGGAGAAATGAGGCAAAACTAATGGAAAGACCAACCTTGTAATAATGTAAAACAGAGGACAAACACAGAACTGATGACAGATTATGTTTCTTTCAGCCCCCACGGTCTGTGTGCAGTGAGAGCTGCCCCTCAGGAACCAGACGAGCAAGGAGGAAGGGTCTTCCAGTCTGCTGTTTTGACTGCCTGCCATGCAGAGATGGAGAGATTTCTAATACAACCAGTGATTGACAGAAAATAAAAATATACTTTCCAAAATTTGAATATCATTTAAAATGTTCTCTTATTTATTTGTTTGTTTGTTAATTTGTGTCTCTCTCACAGATGCTAATGAGTGCACAATATGTCCAGATGAGTTCTGGTCCAATCCAGCTAAGGATCAGTGTGTCCCAAAAGAAATTGAGTTTCTATCCTATGAGGAACCTCTGGGTATCTCTCTGACCACTGCATCTCTGCTTGGCACCTGCTTCTGCGCTCTTGTGATGGTCATATTCGCTCATCACCGAAACACTCCCATAGTACGTGCCAACAATTCAGAGCTCAGCTTCCTGCTGCTGATATCACTCAAACTGTGTTTCCTGTGTGTGCTACTGTTCATTGGCCGGCCACAATTGTGGACGTGTCAGTCAAGGCATGCTGTGTTTGGCATAAGCTTTGTTCTGTGTATCTCCAGTATCCTGGTCAAGACTATGGTGGTAATAGCCGTCTTCAAGTCATCTCGACCAGAGGGCAAAAGTGCCATAAAATGGTTTGGAGCAGCTCAACAAAGATGCACAGTTCTGGTCCTAACAGCCCTCCAGGTTGTGATATGTGCAGTCTGGCTATCAACTGCCTCTCCAACACCCCATAAAAACAACCAGTATCTTCGCTCTAAAATAGTATATGAATGTGCTATTGGCTCAGTGGCTGGTTTTTCTCTTCTGCTGGCATACATTGGACTGTTGGCAGCAGTAAGCTTCCTGTTAGCCTTCCTGGCGAGAAATCTTCCAGATCATTTTAACGAAGCAAAGTTCATTACTTTTAGCATGTTGATCTTCTGTGCTGTGTGGATTGCATTTGTTCCAGCATATGTGAGCTCACCAGGAAAATATGCAGTGGCTGTGGAGATATTTGCCATTCTTGCTTCCAGTTTTGGTTTACTGGTAGCCATATTTGCCCCAAAGTGTTACATAATCCTTTTACATCCAGAGAAAAACACCAAAAAATCCATCATGGGAAGAGAATCAAAGAACAAATAGGTTTACCTTACTGTAAAATTGTAAACTGTCTCAATTTATTTTGGTCTTCACTTCCCTAAACAAATAAGTAGGGCTGTGCAAAAATTAATTGCGATTAATCGCATCCAAAATAAAAGTCTGTGTTTACATAATATATTTGTGTGTGCTGTATATAATTATTTTGTATATATAAATACACACACATGCATGTATATATTTAAGAAAATGTGTTATTGATATATATAAAATATTTATATTTATATAATATAGATTATGCATTTATATATATATATACATACAGAATTTAAGAGCAAATAATTCTTAAATATATACATGCATAGGTATTAATATATACAAAATAATTATATACAGCACACACAAATATATTATGTCAACACAGACTTTTATTTTGGATGCGATTAATCGCAATTAATTTTTGCACAGCCCTACAAATAAGCAACATTTTTGTTTTTGCTATGTAGTATGTCTTATAGTGCTATAATTATTCAAATACAAGTTATCCATTTGCTTGTTTTAAAATAACCATGTATCAATACATTTGTCATATTGACTTTAAATATTTTTTGATGCGAAGTTTTGTTTATTATTTTATTTCTTTATTTGTTTGAACTCATATTTTTTTAATCATAACTCAAACTTCCAATGAAGCATCTGACTTATTTCTGATTACGTATGTCAGACTTTTCCAGTCATTGAGTTTTCCTAACCCTGCCTCTTTCTTAAGAAGCATTCTGTTGATCAAAGTGACAAATCCTTGTAATCGACTTGAATAAGTTGCTGTGTCTGTGTGGAGAAATCTTTAGCCCTTACTCAGAATTCCCATATATAGTCATAATTATTAAACAATACATTTATTGAATAATAATAATAATAATAATAATAATATATTTCTAATACTCAATGTGCTCGGAAATGTAATGTACATGTAATTTACGCTTGATGTAATAAACAAAGGAGGAGAAAAGACTGCCAAAAGAGAATGTTTCCCACATTTTTTAAAAAAAATGTCATTCAGTGACAAATGTTTTGAAATATTGACATTTGAAATAATGTCATGTGGTAAAATTTGCTGCCCAAAATGTGATGATATAATCAGTGATCAACTAAATTTAAATTAGTAATTAAAGACAAAACCAACATATTAAGAACAAACCAATTACAAGCTACTTAGCTATACCCACAAGCGGTCCTCAATGTATAGGGGAAAAGCAAAAAGATTGCTTGAAAAATGTTGAACTTGCTAAATCTAGAAATTAATTTAACTTAAAATAAAGGAACTTGGGGTGCTGAAATGTATTGTAGTTGTCAAGTATTGTAATGTTGAGTTATGATTACCAATCGAATAGAGTGACACCTCAGTGTGTTCCTGTAAAAAAGCAATTTGCAGAGATTTCAAAGTGACTTTGGATTTAATAAAATTAAACAGTACTACCAGATTCAAGTGCTATAGTTCCTGGTGAATGAAAACAAGCTTGATTCCTATTGCATGTACAATACAGACAGTCTGATATTGTAAGCTGCTATGTGATCAGCAAAATTCGAGACTCACACCTGTAAGTAAATGCATTTGTCATTCCCAAACACTGACAATGTGAATGTAGCCTTTTTTGTTTGTTTGTTTTTGCATAAATTAGAATGACAAATCAGAGCAAATCAGACCACACATTTCTAAACCTACATCCATTGTGATCATCCGTATGCAATTTTGCTCATCTCACATGAGCTTAACAAATTACAAATACATCCGGAAATGCTTCTCACCTTCATCCACCTTAAGTGAATGTAGCCTTGGCCTGGAGGGGTTGATGTCATCAGGCGGTACCAAACCTTCATTGGGTGTTTCGACCCTTATCCGCAACACCCTCCAGATTGTGGGTCGGCAGTGGTGGCCAGATCACTGCCCATCTTCCCCTCCAGGCTTCCAGCTCAACTCCTCCCTCCTGCTCCATAACCAGCAAGAGGCTCTTTCCGCTGCCTCCCCCATCCTACGAGCTGCTGCCTTCCTCTCTTTCCCTGTCATTCCAAGGGCTGTGAGCATTCTCCACACTGACTGGGCAGGGAATCCTCTACAGCCGACCTCGACCGGGAACAGCCAAGCCTGCCAGCCTTTCTCCCTGCAGTCGTGCAGAATGTTTTGGTATTTGGCACTCTTCCTTTCAAAGGCCTGTTCACACCCCTCTTCCCATGGGACTGTAAGTTCTATGAGGATGATCTTCTTTCCCTCATCAGACCACAGTATCACATCCGGCCTCAGGGTTGTCTGGACAAACTGGGGGAACTGCAGCCTTCCTCCCAGGTCAACCTTCATTTCCCATGATTGAGCCTTTTGTAGCAGATTGGTTCTTGTTGTTACTGTGGTTGGTGGCTTTTCCCCCTCCCTTACAAACTGGATTGATGTTGTCTTCCGAAGTGGTAGCCGTTTCTTTTCCTCTCTTGCTCTAAGGTGTTGGCGAGTGTCATGAGCACTCTGTCATGGCGCCACCTGTACCTTCCCTGGGTGAGTGCTTTTTTACACCCGGACAGGATGTGTGCCATTGTGCCTCTCTCCCCACAAAGCTTGCACAATGGGTCCTCTCTCATACCCCACTTGTGCAAGTTTGTTGGGGTTGGCAGTGTGTCATACACTGATCTCAGCAGAAAAGAGATGCGGAACGGCTCCAGTCTCCATAGGTCCGCCCAGGTAATCTTCCTCTTGGGAAGCTCCCATTTGGTCCAGGCTCCTTGGGAAGCTAGGTCCACTGCCCTTGCCCTTCGTCCCTCCTCTTCCAGGTTCCGTACCTCCTCTTGAATCATGGCTCTTCTTTCACTAGTTCCTGCCTTCCTCCACAGTTGGAAATGGGAGGTTCCAAGACCCTGCCTTCCTGTGCATGGTGCTCCAATTATATCCCGTAGCTTCAATATACTTTCAGCTTGTGCAACAGATGAATCAGCTGCCCACTTGCGACCTGATCTTGTAATGACGCCTGCATGTCTGACTTGTTCATCTTGTGAGTCTCTGTATGTCATTACAATTCTGCACTTTGAAACTTTGAATTCCTCAACCACAGATGAGAGAGGAAGTTGGAGCTGCCCTGATCTTATATAGAGGCCTACTGCAGTGAAGCTTGGAGGGATTCCCAACCATTTTCGGAGGTGTTTATTGATCTTCCTCTCCATACCTTCGACGCATGTCATCGGGACCTCGTACACAGTCAACAACCACATGAGTCTTGGCAACAGTCCGTGCTGATAGAGCCAAGCTTTAAACTTCCCAGGGAGTCCTGATTTTTCAATCCTGCTCAGCCACTCCTCCATCTGCTTTTCCGTACTGGCTTTGTTGTTCCTATCAGTAAGTGAGTCATCAAACCACTTTCCGAGGCACTTAATTGGGTTCTCCTCTATAGATGGAATTACTTCCCCTTGCACATGCAGCTTGAACCTGTTGGTCAGCTTCCCGTTCCTGATCACCAAACTCCTAGATTTCTTTGGCTTAAACTTCATTCTGGCCCATGTTGCCATGTGGTCCAGAACATTTAGCACCCACCTTGCCTCCACATGGGTTGTGGTCGTCACGGTAAGGTCGTCCATGTAACCTCTTATTGGGGGTTGTCGGATGCCTGCTTCCATTTTTGGACCCCGGGCTTCCTTCTCTGCAGCTGATATTAAGAGGTTCATTCCCATGACGAAGAGGATGGGGGAGATTGTACAGCCAGTTACGATACCCTTTTCTAGGCTTTGCCACTGAGTTGTAAAATGGGCTGCATTGAATCGTAGCTGGATTCCGGAAAAGTAACTGGTGATTATTCTCTTGATGTGCTGCGGGATGTGGTAGTGGTCTAATGCTGCATGAATGAGGGCATGAGGGATTGATCCATAAGCATTGGCCAAGTCCAGCCAGACAACAGTCAGGTTGCCCTTGCTGGCTTTGGCCTCACGGATCATCTGACTGAGAACTCCGGTGTGTTCCAGGCATCCAGAGAAGCCTGGGATTCCACCTTTCTGGATAGCAGTATTGATGTATCCATTCTCTGTCATGTAAGAGGTCATCCTCTTGGCCAGTACTGAAAAGAAGATCTTGCATTCTACACTTAACAGTGAGATTGTTCTGAATTGGTCAATGGTTGAGGAATTCTCTTCCTTCGGCACAAAACATCCCTCTGCCTTCTTCCAGCCTGATGGAATGGTACCCTTACTCCAGATCCTCCGGAACAGCTTCCACAGCCTCCGGAGGAGCTTTGGGCATTTCTTGTATACCTTGTAGGGTATACCGCTTGGGCCAGGGGCAGATCCTGTTCTGGCCTTCTTCACCACCTCTTGGACTTCCTTCCAGGATGGTTCGCTGATATTGAGCTCTTTTTCTGGGGTCTTCATACTGTTGATACTTGAGTTGGCATTCAAGGCCTGGTTTCTCAAGATATCATTGTGGGTCTCCCTCAAAAACTCCTCCACATCTTCTCTGGGGCTAGTCAGCCTTCCAGATTTAGCTTCTCCTAGCAGGGTCCTGGTGAATCGGAATGGATCTTTGGTGAACTGGGATCTTTTATTCTCCCTATCCTTCCTCTTCTTCCGAGTACTTTCAGCTTTTCGAAGTCTGCAGAGGCGCTCCCGGAGTTGACTCGTCAGAACCTTGATGCCTACCCTTTCATCAGCAAGAGCTTGTTTGAACTGCTTGGTTAGAGACTTTATTTCTCCCCTCAGACGATGAATTTCCCTCTCTCTTCTACTTGGCTGGTATGCCGCCTTGATGATGATTTCCTTCTCCTTAATTCCAAAACGCTCCTTTGCCAGATTATAAGTTATTGTTGTGAGAGTATTGACTTTCTGCTCAGCCGTCCCTGCTAGTGTGGCTTCTAGCACTTTGTCGAGATCTTGGTCTAGTTGGTACCACTCTTTGTTATCGCTCATCTTAGGCCATTTGATTCGTTCCCTCGCAGGGTGGGGTTGGCTCCCTGGGATGGCATCAGGTGAGTCCATCCTGCAGTCTTGAGGTGACACAGGTGCTGAGAGATCTCCAGTACTGTGGGGTGCTTCCTGCCCGGAGCTCTCCTGCGTCTCACCAGGTGCTACCGCTGTGCGCTGCTCCTGTGACCCCTCTTTTCCGCAGTTGGTTCGGCTTTGGTGTATCTTAAGCCCTCTTATGTTCTTGCAGATCTTTCCGCAATGACACTTTACTTCTAATGCCCCCCCAGTTAATGTTGTTTGGGTGAGCCGTCTCTGGGTCCATATTTCGTTCCTGGTCGTTACCGTTGTGTCTGTCCTATCGAGTCTCTCATCCTCCCCCCCTCTCGGGAGACTCTGGGGGTATTGCTCTGTATTGCTTTCTGTAGCTTGAGTTGGTGCCCTCTTGCGAGTGCTGTGGATGAGGTTGCTAACCTCATACACCCACGCCAGTCTTTCCTGGAGGTCAGCTGTCTTTCCAGCGTCACCGAACTTCCTCGGTTGCCACCCAGACTTTCCTGGAAGTCACTGGTTGCCCAGAGTTTCTAAATTACAAATACATCCGGAAATGCTTCTCACCTTCATCCACCTTAAGTGAATGTAGCCTTGGCCTGGAGGGGTTGATGTCATCAGGCGGTACCAAACCTTCATTGGGTGTTTCGACCCTTATCCGCAACACCCTCCAGATTGTGGGTCGGCAGTGGTGGCCAGATCACTGCCCATCTTCCCCTCCAGGCTTCCAGCTCAACTCCTCCCTCCTGCTCCATAACCAGCAAGAGGCTCTTTCCGCTGCCTCCCCCATCCTACGAGCTGCTGCCTTCCTCTCTTTCCCTGTCATTCCAAGGGCTGTGAGCATTCTCCACACTGACTGGGCAGGGAATCCTCTACAGCCGACCTCGACCGGGAACAGCCAAGCCTGCCAGCCTTTCTCCCTGCAGTCGTGCAGAATGTTTTGGTATTTGGCACTCTTCCTTTCAAAGGCCTGTTCACACCCCTCTTCCCATGGGACTGTAAGTTCTATGAGGATGATCTTCTTTCCTCATCAGACCACAGTATCACATCCGGCCTCAGGGTTGTCTGGACAAACTGGGGGAACTGCAGCCTTCCTCCCAGGTCAACCTTCATTTCCCATGATTGAGCCTTTTGTAGCAGATTGGTTCTTGTTGTTACTGTGGTTGGTGGCTTTTCCCCCTCCCTTACAAACTGGATTGATGTTGTCTTCCGAAGTGGTAGCCGTTTCTTTTTCCTCTCTTGCTCTAAGGTGTTGGCGAGTGTCATGAGCACTCTGTCATGGCGCCACCTGTACCTTCCCTGGGTGAGTGCTTTTTTACACCCGGACAGGATGTGTGCCATTGTGCCTCTCTCCCCACAAAGCTTGCACAATGGGTCCTCTCTCATACCCCACTTGTGCAAGTTTGTTGGGGTTGGCAGTGTGTCATACACTGATCTCAGCAGAAAAGAGATGCGGAACGGCTCCAGTCTCCATAGGTCCGCCCAGGTAATCTTCCTCTTGGGAAGCTCCCATTTGGTCCAGGCTCCTTGGGAAGCTAGGTCCACTGCCCTTGCCCTTCGTCCCTCCTCTTCCAGGTTCCGTACCTCCTCTTGAATCATGGCTCTTCTTTCACTAGTTCCTGCCTTCCTCCACAGTTGGAAATGGGAGGTTCCAAGACCCTGCCTTCCTGTGCATGGTGCTCCAATTATATCCCGTAGCTTCAATATACATTCAGCTTGTGCAACAGATGAATCAGCTGCCCACTTGCGACCTGATCTTGTAATGACGCCTGCATGTCTGACTTGTTCATCTTGTGAGTCTCTGTATGTCATTACAATTCTGCACTTTGAAACTTTGAATTCCTCAACCACAGATGAGAGAGGAAGTTGGAGCTGCCCTGATCTTATATAGAGGCCTACTGCAGTGAAGCTTGGAGGGATTCCCAACCATTTTCGGAGGTGTTTATTGATCTTCCTCTCCATACCTTCGACGCATGTCATCGGGACCTCGTACACAGTCAACAACCACATGAGTCTTGGCAACAGTCCGTGCTGATAGAGCCAAGCTTTAAACTTCCCAGGGAGTCTGATTTTTCAATCCTGCTCAGCCACTCCTCCATCTGCTTTTCCGTACTGGCTTTGTTGTTCCTATCAGTAAGTGAGTCATCAAACCACTTTCCGAGGCACTTAATTGGGTTCTCCTCTATAGATGGAATTACTTCCCCTTGCACATGCAGCTTGAACCTGTTGGTCAGCTTCCCGTTCCTGATCACCAAACTCCTAGATTTCTTTGGCTTAAACTTCATTCTGGCCCATGTTGCCATGTGGTCCAGAACATTTAGCACCCACCTTGCCTCCACATGGGTTGTGGTCGTCACGGTAAGGTCGTCCATGTAACCTCTTATTGGGGGTTGTCGGATGCCTGCTTCCATTTTTGGACCCCGGGCTTCCTTCTCTGCAGCTGATATTAAGAGGTTCATTCCCATGACGAAGAGGATGGGGGAGATTGTACAGCCAGTTACGATACCCTTTTTGTAGTATCATGAAAGTCGTCTGGGCAGACTACAGTACATTCATCAGGTTGTCACTGTCATTTGACCTGCAAGAGTCAGTTTGTCACTTTACTGCAATTCAGAAAACCTCTCCTGTGGCCTCATTGGATTGTGAAGTCCATTGGATGCCCCATTCAGTATCTTACTGGAAGTAGTAGGTCATCTGGGTACTTTTTTAGTAGTAGGTCATCTGGGTACCGTTTTATGAATATTGTGAATTTAGACAAACTACTATTTTTGCTTTGGTTGTATCCAAGTTTGTATGCTTCCCTACTATATATTATGTAACTGTCCCCATTATGTTCTGTTTTCATTCTCATCATATATTCCTTTGTTCAGTTGTGCAGCTGAATATGTGTTTTACATAAAAGCTTTAGTAAATCGAGGAAAAGGAGTTTTTTTTCCTTTTCTGTAAATCGAGGAAAAGGAAGATTTTAGAAAAATCTTCTTCTTTTTTTTCTTACAGAAGCCGTTGGAGCACTTTTAGCCCGTTTACTGGTAAACATCTGTTGCATTTATTCACATCTGTTCTGTGAAAACATCTGTTCACTTCATCAGAAGAAACGGCATAGGAGACGGGGGAGGCGAGGCGGTGTCCTGGTGAGATAAAAAAAAAAATCCACCTTCTTTGTCAGATGTTCCGAGTTGACAGCAGTGGATGACATCAGTCACTGTTTACCATCAAGCAGACGCTATTCTTGCAGCAAGGTACTCTTCTCTTCACTATATGTTCCCGGAGCATCCAGAATCAATGTTCTATTGAACAACTATTGCTTGTTCTATTGCTAGTTCCCAGAGATAGAGTAAACTTTTATAACCGTAGAGCGCTGGAGTTTGTTTCAAATCAGAGATTGTCTATCATCAACTCTCCAAATGTATCTACAGCCAACAATTTTAAGGGGAACTATGTCACGGTTGGTAAATCCTATGTCTACTTCTCGTCTCGTGTTTCTGTTATTGTTGTGTGTGTGTGCGCTGATGGGGGGGCGTGCCGCTCTATCAGCGCTCATCAGCAATCATCATCACCAGCTGCAGTTAATCATCTTGTGTATATATTCTCATCAACTTCTCATCTCCTTTGTCAGATCGTTGTTTGTGGTTCCCGGTGTGTTGTCTCCTGTCTCGCTCAATCGTGTTCAGCTCTGGTTCTTGTTCTCTGTCGTTTGGATATTGTTCGTCGTTGGATTCACCACCACCATCACCACTGCACTCTGCACCTGATCATCGGATCCCCTGCGTCACTAACTCTTTGCCTGTTTATGGACTGTCTCTGTGTGTTCTTCATATTTCTAATTATAAGAGTTTAACTGCAACTGCTTCCTTGATTATATCATGACAGAACGATCTGACCAAAGCATGGAAGCAGCGGAGGACTCTCAGCGATCTCTGAACGAGTTTGTGAGAAGCTGTCTACAACGTATGGACACACAGGAAAAGAACCTCAACGACACAGCTCGCGCTGTACAGGCGTTAGTGACGCAGGTGTCTGGGCTCACCCAACAGATTCAACACCTTCGTCTTCCCACTGCGCCACCCGCACCGCTGATTCCCCCACCACCACCACCAGCGGACCCATTCCAGTCAGAGCCCCGCCTTCCAACTCCAGAGCCATACGCAGGTGAAGAGAATTTTTGTCGAGCATTTCTGACCAGATGTACCATGCATTTCTCCCTGCAACCCAGGACGTTCCGCGAGGAGGCAACCAAAGTGGCGTTTGTCTTGACACTTCTGACTGGGAGAGCGGTGCTATGGGGGGCAGCGGTGTGGGAAAGCCAAGACGACTGCTGTTCCTCGTTCCAGAAACTCTTCGATGAGATGCGGCGAGTGTTCGATCGGGCCGCATCAGGAAGAGAGGCTGCCAGGGTGTTGACGGAACTACGTCAGGGTGAGAGATCAGTATCAGACTTTTCCATCGAGTTCCGAACCCTGGCAGCCGAGAGCAAATGGATCGAGGAGGCGCAGTGGGACATGTTCCTGCATGGGTTGGCTGACCGCATCCAGAAGGAGATCTACGCCCTGGACCTGCCCACCAAGCTGAATGACCTCATCGCGCTGGCGTTAAGAGTGGATGCACGCCTTTCTCGAGTCAAGAGCCGAGGTCAACACGATCGTTTCTCTGGAGGCATCGAGGGGCAGCGTTCAGGAGGCGAGGGAGCGGTCAGCCCTACCTACGATCACGAGCCCATGCAGGTGGGTCGAGCCCGGCTTTCCCGGGAGGAGAAGGAGAGGCGGAGATCCCTGGGCCTTTGTCTGTACTGTGGTGGAGCGGGACATTTGGCGTTTAATTGTCCGTTAAAAGGCCCAGCCCGACAGTAAGAATGAGGCTACTGTCGGGTGGGATCTCTGCCGAGAAGACCTCATCGACATCTACCTTCCTCCCGGTAAGGCTCCGATGGTCAACTCACCTCCACGATTGTCGAGCACTACTGGACTCTGGGGCGGAAGGTAATTTCATGGACCATTCATTTGCTAAGAAACTTCATATTCCCCTCAAACCCCTCTCACACCAGATTCATGTACACGCTCTCAACGGCCAAAGACTCCCCACTATCTCATGGATCACCGAAGACATCACCCTCATCACTTCAGGCAATCATTCAGAGACTATTTCCTTTTACATTCTGGACACTCCATTAGCCCCCATCGTTCTTGGTCACCCATGGCTCACCCGTCACAACCCCAAAATAGACTGGCAATTCAAATCAGTAGCATCATGGAGCAGTTTTTGTCATAAGTCTTGTCTTGTGTCTGCTTGTCCGTCTGTCTCTTCTCGTGTGTTACAGGAGGAAACAGTGGATTTATCAAACGTGCCCACGGAGTATCGGGAGCTGAAGGAAATGTTCAGTAAGTCTCGGGCTGATTCTCTTCCTCCGCATCGTCCCTATGACTGTGCTATAGACTTATTGCCAGGTACGTCTCCGCCTAAGGGCAAATTATATTCACTCTCGGTCCCTGAGAGAGAGGTCATGGAGAAATACATTTCTGATTCTCTAGCAACGGGATTCATCCGCCCTTCCTCTTCTCCAGCGGGGGCGGGGTTCTTTTTTGTGGGGAAAAAGGATGGATCTTTGCGACCTTGTATTGATTACCGGGGGCTGAACAACATCACGGTGAAGAATACTTATCCTTTGCCGTTGATGTCTTCAGCTTTCGAGAGGTTGCAAGGAGCATCTATTTTCACAAAACTGGATTTAAGGAATGCTTATCATTTGGTCCGCATCAGG